GATGTACAAATGCGCTTTACACAATTGATGTGTGTATGGATTGGGATAACAGTTGTATGAGCCCCTAATAAAATGTTTAAAAAAAAATTGACATTCTTTGACTGAGTTATTCCTCCCATTAACATCTGCTCCTTGCTTCATAAGGTTCCTGGTCTTAACCTCTGAGCCGTTGTTATCAGTTGGAGCACAATGTTCAAGGCTGATTTTTTTTAAGTTGTTCATGGAGGACACTAGCCACACTCTACAGCCTCCTTCTGTTCCTGACTCCTCTCCTCTGTTGGTTGCATCAGGCCAATAGAGACAAGTTCTTGGACCTTAGCTGGCTACATGTAAGTTTTTGAGACCCCAGGAGGTAGGCAGCGGAAGCAAAGCACTAAACATGTGGTTCAACCAGGAAACCGGGCTGCCTCATGAAACCACAGCCCCGAACCTCAACTCCCAGGGGTTTTTCTTGGACCAAAGCCACCTCACTGTTCCCTCTGTTCTTGTTGTAAATGTATCTATCACACAACTTTCACTCATCCAACACTTTCCAAGTATACAACTCATTAACAGTGGCTACAGTACCATCTGGGCTTTCTTTAAGTGGAAGCTAGGGTCCACCTGCCACACCAGGGAAGATTCCTCTAAAAACACAACAGATGTCCATGATGGATGCCCTGTGAGGCTTACTCACAACACGACCTCTCACCAAATTACCTATCCCAGTCACTGTATTGAACTAAAGCTACTGAAAAACGACACTATCCTGAAATTCTCTCATGGAGTTCCAGTGGCTAAAACAGCCTTGAGGTGGTTATAAACGAATTCAAGAGATAAAAATAAATCCAGATAATTCAGACTACACTGACTATTTACAACACAGGCACCTTCTATGCAATACGCTATTATTTTAAAAACACACCTTATTGTGAAACAAAAAATTTTCATAAATAAATTACCCAACACACCACCTCTTACAATAGCAGATGAGGAGCCATTTCTTTTATGGTTGTAGGTGTCATAACCTGCACAGAGCAAAAGTCCAACTTGATTTGCACTGCTGGGGCTCAGAATGTTTGATTAGTCAGGTCTAGAAAATGCTCTCCCCTAAACTACAAATACCAGTGGACTGGGTTTGAAGGGTCCCCCCCAAAATCCATGTCCTTCTCAGAACCTCAGAATGGGGCCTTATTGAGAAATAAGAGTTGATTCAGAGGTCATATTGGAGCAGAGTGAGAATATAAGTTAATATGACTGGTGTCCTTAGTCGGGGTGGGGAATGTCTGGCCTAAGGGCTGAATAAGACCCATGAAATCATCAATAGTAGTTTAACATCACACTTCACCAAAGAGAAGCAGTTCCAGCTAAAGGGAAGTGAATTCTTTAATGTGTTTTTTCTAGGCAACATCTCTAACTCCCATCAAACAACCTTTCCCTGTACTGGTCTGAGAAGAAGGTGGGAGAAGATACTAAAAGAATTCACACACACACACAAAAAAAGGGATTCACCTGTGAGCAATTGTGATCAAGATTCCCTGGAGTGACATCCTGCTATGTATAAAATAGGCCTTTTGATAAGCAGGAGGAGGGATCTCATTACTGGCAAGAGCTAGGAGTGAGCATGCCCTCTGGATCCGAGATCCCTGCGCAGTCAATCTCTTGGATCCAGAAGACAGATATGGCAACAGAGGAGCAGCAACAAAACCACCAGCCAGAGCATGAAACAGTGATGTACTTCCCAACCCACAGAGCAAGTAAAGCTGAGTGCTTTGGGGTAAGAGACTTGACTTGTGGAGTGGGGTGCCTCTGGGCACTTAATTGGTGGAGCTGAGTTTGCTGACTCACAAGAGCTTGAGCTGAATTGCTTTTGGGTTGAGGCTTACAGTGGAGTGGTATGTCCCTGTGGGCATCCATTAGCAGACCCGAAAGAATTGTGTAACATGTACCGATGAACTATATCCTGAGCATTTTTCACTTGCATCACAACCTGTCAACTTCCTTCATAAACCCTGAAACATGAATATTGTCTGTGAGGTCTGTGTAGCCAGTGCAATGGACATTAGAACCTAGAAATCAAGCAGAGAATACCAATAAAGATAACTTGCCAGTCATCAC